TTGGATGAGGGATGGATTGCTGATCTTTTTAGTGCGACATGCCGGGCTGTCGCCCTGAGGTCAGCGATCCACTGCATATCACGTGTTGGCGCGTCGACAACTGTCCGCCTTGGTATTCGCGCCATTCACTATACTTTGACTACGACCCAACGTGATGTCTATCACAGCATCCTGCTACCAACGTCACTGCAAATACTCAACCTCTCCTCTCTCATAGTACTGACACGAAGCCTCTGCAGCCTCTAAATTGAATCTATATCTAACCTCCTTTCCTATCCCATCGTGTAAGACAGAAAGTTTTCTCTACTGCTGATCCAGCATGTGTTTAAACTTCTCAATCTGTTGGTTCTCGTTAGTCAACTGTGCCCTCCTTTGTAAATGCGTTCATATGAGGTTTCTGACCACTCACCTTTGTACTCAGGTACTTTTCCACCTCCTCACTCTTGATTCCCTTCTCGCCGCCCGTCTTCCATGCAATCGGAATCATGGCCACCCGCTCCCTGACGACAACCTCCCGATTGGGGCCCTCGACGGCATGCACCTTGTCCGGGTTATTGGTCAACAGCCTGATGCCCCTGTCACCATCTAGCCCCAGGTCCATGAGCATGGCGGTGGCGAGCCCATAGCTCCTCGCATCCGCAGGGTGTCTGAGCAGGATGTTCGCTTCATACGTGTCATTTCCCAAGTCTTGCAAATTGTAGGCTTTGAGTTTTTCGCCTAGGCCAATTCCTCGGCCTTCTTGGCGCAAATAAATGATGGCGCCGCCGGACGGGGACAGGTGCGGGTCTGCCATCAAGCGGGCGGCTTCGTCGAGTTGCTCGCCGCAGTCGCAGCGCGCCGACCAGACGGTCTCGCCGGTGTAGCATTCGGAATGTATTCTGACCAGAGGCAGATCGCTCGAGGCAATCGGCTGTACATTACCATTTTCGCTCGACGGCGCCGAGGACGGGGAGGGCAAGCCATTGACCCTTTTCGTCGTCTCGCGCTCGACCTGGTCGTCCGACGTCTGCTTGGTAGGAAGGCCCTCTGAACGCTTGAGCTGCTCGACCCGCGAGCTCGTCCGGCCGGGATACAAGCGACCAACATAGGCGCCCCGCGTCATGCGATCGAGTTCCGTCTCCCCCGGTCTTTCGGCGTCCAGTGACCGCGAGCGGATGTTGGCACCAAAGACAATGGCAAGGTGTTCTTTGGTGTCTACGCTGTTGCGGTAGACGTGCAGCCACATTTCATGGCCGGTGGTGGTCGGGATGCGGGCGCGCACCTCGCATTCGACATGTGGCAGTTTGGCCAGCAGCTCAGGCCGTGGAGCATCGTCTTGGAGGAGCGAGGTATCGACAGGTACGGATCGTGGTGGGCGGGGATGCGAGGGTGTGGAGACGCCAGCCGGAGTGGCCGGAGGGGTGAAGGCGGGCGAGATGATGGATGGGACGGCGTGGGCAAGTTGGGTGGTGGGGTGCAAAGAATCACGATGGTCGTGCGCACGTGTCTGTGGCGACGTCGTGGATGACGATGATGGGGATGCCTCGAGTACATAGCCATCGCGACTTGAAGGCCGAGGCTGGGGTGAATGGAGAGGCCGGAGGGCGGGGGATGCGTGTGCGGGGAGTTGGGAAGAAGGCATGACACTGGACTGGGTAGGAGAGAGATCGGGATTGGGTATCGGGAGTGGTAGGCGAGGGGAGAGACGGCAGCAACAAGAAAAGAGAAGAGGAAAAAAGAAGAAATCAGCCAATTGATGTTGGCAAGGTCAAGCGATGCGCATCGTGATGGCAAAGTGGAGGGAGAAAGGGGTCCGAGCCGACAAGTGGACAGTCGTCAGTCATCAGTCATCAAATTGTCCGTGACTTGTGCCGTGTGTGTGATTGTGTGGGTTGTCGTACCATACTCTAGTCGTCCTTCCGCTTCTCGTTTGACTCGGCCGTCTTTTGTCTCCCGGGGGAGGCGCCAGGCCAGGCAGTTCCCGAGGCCGGATGCGGCATCCATGAACTCCAACTAGAACTGCGGAACGGGCGGCCCCCGCTTTCGGCCATGGTATGTTATGTGTGATGTACTCTAGAGCATTGAATACACAGACCGGGAAGTAAGAGGGTGGCAGGCTAGAGTAGTGTAGTACTAGAGTACTGCTACTCTACATCGAGAGGGCCTGGCTACTGGCTGACATTAGTTGGTACTTTATCTGTAACCACGGGTTCATACACAGTCTTACCGTATATTTGCATTATGTAAGCAGTCCAGTCCGATGCCTCGGCAGTGGCCCCCCACCCCCCCCCTTCCTTCCACAAGCCCTTAGTCAGCATCACAGCCGGCCCCCTCTGGACCGAACACTTCTCACTCTGTTGGCCTTGGACACCCACGACAACACACGGTAGAGTAGACTATGTAATGACACTGCACTGACACGGTGTTGCCACGGTCATGGGTGGAAATATACTTTGCGTCCTGAGAATTCGTTTCCCATCCCACCTTCACCAGAGTAGGCACTGGTAGAGTACTCTACATCCGGCCTTCAACTCTCCACATCAATCCACTCTGCGCTCTCGCCCCCAAACCTCGTCTGCATTCCTCTTGCCCTTGGTCTCGGGCACATACCATGCGATAAAGGCAGCAAACGAGGCTGAGAGCGCTGCAAAGATCAAGTAGACCTTGCCGTGCAGCTTTGCGCTCGCCAACGGGAAGAACTGCGCTACCATGAATGTGGCAATCCAGTTGGCACCCAGCGCAATGCTCTGCGTCGCGTCCACCGCATCGGGCCCCACCAGTTCACTGGCGAGGATAAACGGTACCGGCCCCAGACCGACCGCAAAACTCGACACAAACGACAAGACGGCCACCGCCGAGAGCACTGGGATCGACTGCATAATGCCAATCGCAAGCAGGACCGAGCTCGTTCCCATGCCTGCAAGAGAAACCAGCAGACACGTCTTGCGCCCCAGCTTGTCTGCCAGCGGTGCGCATCCTGCAGTCACCACAATGTTGAGGGCCGAAACAGCCAAGTTGAGCAGGGCAGAGTTGGACTCGAGTAGCCCGGCCAGCAGGGAGACTCCGTACATGACGATGCTGTTGATTCCGCTAAACTGTTGCGCCACCATGACCATGATGACAGCAATCGCCGCCTTCTGGTAGTCCGTGTGCTTGAATACTTGCATGATGCTGAGCGTCTGTTCCTTGCTGGCCTTGGTTGGGATGCCCATCGCGCCGTCTTGGTTGTGCAAGAGCGTCTGCTCTTCGTCTGTAGTCTTGTTAGCGTGCACCACATCCAAAGACTCGTCCATCCTTACCACTGATCTCACTAGACCCGACGGCTCCCCAGCCACTCATCTCGTCTTCCACGTTGGCCTCTTCGCCTCTCAACTTGCGCAGCGTCTTCTTCGCCAGCGAGATCTTACCCTGCTCGGCAAGGTATTTTGGACTCTCGACGGATAGGAAGAGACCCGCTGCCTGTGCAAGCCCAATCAGACCTCCAATCGCCAGTATGATCCTCCAGTACGAGTCGTGGCTCAGGAAGTAGCCGAGCAACTGTGTGGTGAGGATGCCAACGTTGCACATGATTTGCGTAAAGGCGCCAAAGAAGCCCTTGTCTGCTGGTGGCGCGATTTCTGAAATGTAGAGAGGTACAATCACCACCGACGCCCCAGCGCCTACACCCGACAGCAGCCTGCCAAAAGCCATGACGGCGATGCTGGGGCTCAGGGCCTCAAAGACGGGGCCGATGGCGAAGAAGAGCGTCGTGATTTGCATTGCCCTCAGCCGCCCGAATCTGCCTGCCAGCGGTCCAGCGGATAGGGCTCCTATCAAGCCTCCAAGTGTGTACATGGAGCCGACCACGCCCCATTCCGTCGGGGTCATGGGTATGCATTGCGGGAGGTTTGGGCTGGCGGTGGTAGCTGTTATCGACTTCTTCTTGCAGCGAATCACGTCTTCGGGCGCGTTGAGTTCCGACTGAAAGGCATTAGGCTTTGTTGTTGTATGGGCAATGGCTGGCTCAAACGTACCAAATGGAAGCCAAACAGGAGCGGACCGAGCGTCGCAACGAACAAAATGTACACAAAGTACCCGGTGAGATGATGCAACTCCATGGCGAATAGAGAGCAGAAGGGGATGTAGGTGGTAGGTAAGCAGAGCTAGAGGCACAGGTTGCTGCCCCTCAAGAATGTGTGCTACTATAGCACGAGTGCGTCCTGTCAGCAATCAACGTGAACCCGGCGCTTGCCCGTCTCAGAGCGTCGTGCAGCTACTACTATGCACGTACGCCATCATGCCCGTAGCAAGTAAGGACATCCTGAAAAGTTTGGCCGTGGAGACCGTCTGGCTGCAGCGATAATGGTAGGTACATAGTCAATCAGGTGAACCAGGTACCGTAACGTGCCTACGGGCTGGTACGGGGCTTCATTCGGTGCCTGTGACGAAGCTTCGGCCCCAGCAGCTCACGTACGGTATGATGATCATCTATCCAAGACACCAAGGGAAACACCAGCCTGTCTCTCTGTTGAACCAAAGCGCCGAAACCATTCAGCTTACGCCATACGTGCAGGTACATGCCGGCCGGTAGATGATAGGTAGCGACATACCGTCTACCGTGTACTGTAGACAACATAACCTCCTCATCCATCCATGGCCACTTTGTTGTTCCGCTTGATTGTTGTTCCGCGAGCCTTGCCAACTGCGGCCCGAGCCACCCGGTCGACCTCCCAGCGCCCCAGCCTTCATTTCACCAGATAACATCGCATCGCCCTGTCACCCACTCATTGAAAAAACAAACCCCGGTAGAGCCTGACAAGGCCATGTTCACCGGATACAATACCAAAAAACGGGTCAACGAGCGTTACAAGATTGTGGGTTTCATCAGTAGCGGTACCTATGGACGAGTCTACAAGGCCGAAGGCCGGAATGGTCGCGCGGGAGAGTTTGCCATCAAAAAGTCAGAGTCTCTCCAATCCAACATTCTTGCGGGCCATACTAACCGCCTCCTAGGTTCAAGCCCGACAAAGAGGGCGAACTGCAATACTCGGGCATCTCGCAGTCGGCTATCCGAGAAATGGCCCTTTGTACCGAGCTAGCACATCCCAATGTGGTGCATACTGTCGAGATCATCCTCGAAGACAAGTGTATCTTCATCGTCTTCGAGTATGCTGAACATGATCTACTCCAAATCATCCATCACCACAACCAACCCCAACGCCAGGCCATTCCAGCGCGTACCATCAAGTCCATCCTTTTTCAGCTGCTGCAAGGCCTCCTCTACCTCCACCGGAACTGGGTCATGCACCGTGATTTGAAGCCTGCCAATATCATGGTTACCAGCTCTGGCAAAGTCAAGATTGGTGATCTAGGTCTGGCTCGCCTTTTTTACAAGCCATTGCAATCCTTGTTCTCTGGCGATAAGGTCGTCGTGACAATCTGGTATCGGGCACCTGAGCTTCTCCTTGGCAGCCGTCATTATACCCCAGCAGTCGACATGTGGGCCGTCGGCTGCATCTTTGCCGAATTGCTGTCGCTGCGCCCGATCTTCAAAGGGGAGGAGGCCAAGATGGACAGCAAGAAGACGGTACCCTTTCAGCGCAACCAGATGCAGAAGATTGTGGAAATCATGGGCATGCCCAGTAAGGATCGCTGGCCACTTCTGACGGCCATGCCAGAGTACACACAGCTGTCCTCTATGATGGCAGGCAACGCATCCCGCTTCCCTCGTCCACAGAGCGGCGATGGCCTTGAGCGATGGTACCACCAGACGCTGAACAACAATCAGTACCCCGTCGGCTCCGGGCCGGATACCCCTGGACCAGAGGGACTAGCACTTTTGAAGGCTCTGCTTGAATATGATCCGCAGAAACGACTGACGGCTGAGAAGGCATTGGAGCACCCCTACTTCACTGCCCATGGAAAAATCTCGGACAATTGCTTCGAGGATTCGAAGATCAAGTATCCGGTTCGCAGAGTCAGCCAAGAAGACAATGATATTCGCACATCGAGTTTGCCTGGCACGAAGCGGAGTGGTTTACCGGACGATTCCATCCTTGGGCGACCTGCCAAACGTCTCAAAGAGGGATGAGCCCGACTTGTCTCGTGACGAGAAACTCTGAAACTGCAGGTGGACAGTGCGACCATTGCATGAACATATGCATCTGTGTTTACGATCTATGTGGCATAGAAATCCCGGTCTTTGGCACAGTACAACGATGGGGAATTGCGTGAGCTACAAGCTTGACAGTGGAGAGGGGTCCTGTGCAAGATTAGGCCTCGCACAGACGTGGCGCAGGAGCAGCCTTGCGCTTCTGGCCCTGATTGCCCGTGCCACGTTGGAAAGAATGGCAGATGTTTCAAGAGGGTGTGTCTAGCAGTCGTGTGTGTCGATGGCCCAATGGACAATCTAAGCGTTGGCAAAAAATATGACCAGGGTGAAGGGTAGAGGAGAAGGGGGCGAATAAAGGGCGAGGTTGGGGTGAGTTGTAGCACAGGAGCACGGAACACAGAACATCTCAGAAGCAGCCTGCTCTTCAACGAAAGCACACGCCAAGGAGTGGGTGAGGGTTGGCTGTAGCCTGAGCTCGGAGCGATGTTAGTATATGATCTCTGTTACGTTGAAAACCTTGCTTGCTTCCCCCATTGTTGGTGACTGGCGGAGGTCTTGCCTCCTCACCCTGCTTTCCCCACTCTGATCTCGTACTTTGCTGTTGAGAGGGCTAAAGACACATGCGGTGACTTGAGTGAAGCGCCGTCACCATGGCCGTCGTGCATTCTCATCTCCCGTGTGTGTTTGCGTTCGTTAGTTGTGAATGTCAAATGAGCCTTGGCATGGCCGGGCGGCAGAGAAACGAGGACATGTTCATCTAGCTAATCAGACGACAGACTCACTGCTTGACTAGAGTGTACGGTATGCGTCTGTGTGCCCCGCAGCGGGCCCGGGCCCGTGTCGAGGTCCAACTTGTCTTGTCCCACTGCTTCGACTACGCCAGACTCGGCGCGCACAAGAAACTGGCCCAAGTCTGTTGCTGGCCGTTTGCCGCCATGGAAGAGTGAATGCCCAACAGTAGGAGATGGGCTCAACGCTTTCATTGAAGCCGGGCGGTGTTATGTGGCGTGATAGGCTTCCTTTCCTGTTTCGCCAGGTGGTCTGGATCCGTTTGTTTGTTTGTTTGTTTGTTTGTTTGTTTCTTGGTGGTGGTGTTCAGGTCACTTGAATGTAGAAGGCGCGCTCTGACAACAACTACGCTATAGGAAAGTACGATAGTTGGGTAATTACCTCCTGCCCTTGTTCTTCAGCTCTATAAACACTCTGACCCCTCGACCGTCCTCTCTACCATCTGTCTCTCTCCTTTCTGCCCACACCCTCGTTCATTGTCCTATCCGTCAATCATTTCATTCGCCTATCCTACTTTGTTCTCACCTCGTGCCCTACAATTACTATTCGTACGACCGCATCACCTCACCTTGGTTCCTAGGCTCATAATACACACAATACCTCCGCTTCATTCACCTACTAGCCATTGCTATTCCTCTTCCTCCGGCACGGCGACATGAAGATATTCACTGCTCTCCTTGCTCTTGCAGTGGCTGCGGCGGTTGCTGCTCCCACGCACGAGATCATGAGCCGCAATCTTGTTGCCGACGATGCCCCCCACCAGGACGACCCCAACTTCATCAGCGCTGTCATGCGCGCCCACTGGTACTGGCGTCGTCTTCACTGCGCTCAGGATCTGGTCTGGGACACGGCGCTCGCTGACGCTGCCCGCAAAGACATCGAGGAGTGCACTCATGAGCCTGGCCATGTAAGCGCATCCATCTCACCAAGGAGTGCCGGCAAGACTAACACGTGCAACAGAAACGCCCTGGCAGCAACCTCTCGTCCGTGACGCCTCCACCTCCCGACTACGAGGCCTGGATCGAGTTCGCCCGTACCGCTTCTCACGGCTGGCACGAGGAGGAGACCAAGTATCCCTACGGCAACCCTCACTTCGAAGCTGCCTGGGGCCACTTTTCGCAGATGGTCTGGCGCAACTCCACCAGCATTGGCTGTGCTCTCGGACACTGCAACGGTCAAGAGACGGACTGGCCTGGTCGTTTCTACTGCTGTAAGTAGTGGCTGCCATTATTGAGTCCCTTGTGTACTAACAGTGGTAGACTACTCCTTCTATGGCAATAACGTCGCTCCGGGACAGTTTGAGGAACAAGTCTGGGGCCCTGTCTGCAGTGATCCATCCGTCAACGAGGTTTCCGAGCGTGAGAACGTCGACTTTGACTGGGCAGTGTCGAGGTGAGCGACTACGGCGAGCCATCAACAGCATGGATGATAGAGAGGGGTGGGTTTCACGGATGTCTTGAACTCGGATCCACTTCTCCGCCCAACCAGACATGATGACGTATGACTTGATGGATACACTACGAATCTAACGGTGTCATGAGTCCTTTTTCGTTGTATAAACGTGCCTATCTGACTTGTTCTTGTGTCCGCATGTCAAAGGCATTAGCAATTTTGGTTGCCATGATTGGCGCACGGATAGCTATTGATGTCTCTGGTGGGCTGGATACGGTGACCATGCTGGGCTAAGCTTGGCTGGGAGGGAGGGGAATCAAAAGGACAAGGACAAAAATTGCAACCTCGTTCCATCATGTATGCGTGCTGCGACATGTGAGTTGTTTGTGAAGTTGGCGAATGACATAAGCAGACATGACAAGCCATGACAAGCCATGACATAAGCAAGGCACTTGCCGTCCGTTTGGCGGTCTTGGAGTTGAGTTATGGCCGTGGCCAGACAGGGAGGAGACGAGGAGGAGCGAGTACAGCAAGTGTGCACTGTAGAGTACTCTAGCTGTCTGCGTTTTTTTTTGATATGGCTATGTGGCGACTGCGTGATGGCTAGGTATAGAGTAGAGTATGGAGGTGCAATGGCCAACAACACTGCCAGTCCTTCGGCGCCGATGAACAGACCAGACGGCCGAAAACCGTGATTCCCCCCCACGGATGCGGGAGAAATGGGTGGTGGATACTCGACTGGGGATGGAAAAGAAAAATCCGATTGTCATGACTCGTCCGGTAATCGCCTCACGCTGATCCTCGTTCGCATTGCATGTCCACCTCTAGAGTATTCCCTCGCCGCAGAGAAGACAGAAGACGAAAAGAGAGACGAAGAGGAATAGAGTAGGAGTAACTAGTCACTACCCCAAGTGTGTCTCTCCCTTCCTGCCTCTCGCCACCCATCTGCAAAGCATGCGCTCTCCGCGTCACTGTTCTAGCCCTGTTCCGACGTCGTCTGCTTTTCCTCCGTTGCAGTCTCCCATCGATCGCGCATCCAAGCGGTTCCAGCTTGGAAACCCCTGCCGCAACGCAACGGGCGGGCCAGTTGTATTGCATCACCGACGCCCGCCACCCCACATGTCTGCTCAATGGCCGGTATCTGTCTCTCTCACACGGCTACAATGCTCACACGGCTACAATACTCACACGGCTACAATACTCACACGGCATACAATACTCACACGGCTACAATACTCACACGGCATACAATACTCACACGGCTACAATACTCACACGGCTACAATACTCACACGGCTACAATACTCACACGGCTACAATACTCACACGGCTACAATACTCACACGGCTACAATGCTCACACGGCATACAATACGGTGTGCATGGTACAAGTAGTGACCTTGGATTGCATGTGAGCACATCAGACCCGGACTGCACGAGACACAAAGGAGGGCAGACGACTTCCAACTCCGGTGTCGCATGGGTAGGTCGCATGCGCTACTCTACCAGTACATGCTTACTTGCTACTACAGTACCTACTATCCTGCTGCCTGTTACCGGCTGCCTGCTGCGTACTACAGCAAATCTTGGATGTTTTTGCGTAAAAAGCCTTCCTTGCCTGGCATGGTGGCCGAAGGTTCCCGCTTTCCTCCAGAGTCTAGACGCATCTCACCACCTGGTCCCTCACTACCCGTTCCCGGTACGTTTCTCATCACTGGCGCTTGCTTGGAGTTCTCCTATATCTTGACGAACAAAAACATTCATCTTCCACCATCGCCTCCTACACGAAAAACCCACCATTACGCCGGCCAAAGGTGACGACAGGCATGTTGGAAATGCAACAAGGTGTACTTGCGCGTGGAGAGGCTGCCGATGCTGCTGCTGGGGGGCCCGTGTCCCTCTCTGCCGAGATCAACATGGCGACGCGGTAGGTGTGACGATGACTCGCTGCACAACTCTTCCCCCTTTTCCAAATTCCCATCTTCATCTCCCATGCCAATCTGACTTTGGGCATACCACAGATCGCTCCACACCGCCCTCAACCGCCTCATTACAAGCCGCCTGCCGCTCGCACTCCCTCCACACGCTCACGACGCCTCGCTCTACACGACCGGCCTCGTCCACTTTGCCCACATCTTCCTCACCTTTGAGTCATTATGGGCCGATCTACTACGAGATCATGTCGCATCCATGCCCCAAGCCGCCTCCTGGCCCACCAACGATGAGGGCGGCACCACATCCCCGCCCTTCTCTCCCCTCCTCTCCTATCTCCTTGTAAACCCGTACGACTCTCCCTCGCTCTTCACTTCCACACTCGGTGCACCAACCCCACCTTCCCCACAAATTGCTGCCTTCTTGCAATCACTGCGCCCACACGGTCTTTTACGCTCATCACGGCTCAAACGAGATCTGGAGCATCTGCTCGACCTGCACCCCACCGACCTGGAAGTCTTACTGGCCAAATATCCCGGAATTAAGGTCGCGGAATTTTGTACACATATTCGTAAGAGCGTCAACCAGAAGCCCTGGACGCTGGTGAGCTATGCATGGTGTTTCTACATGGCTGTCTTCTCTGGCGGACGCTGGATAAGAGGTACCTTGCTGCGCGCTCCGGACGACTACTGGCCGACTCGCCATGACGATATGAGCTTAGCCGATCGGGGATTATCCTTCTGGCACTTTCCCGGCGACCTCGATGGCGAGGATATCAAAGCCGAATTCAAGGCACGGCTGGCAGATGCGGAAGCCCTCTTCTCGCCAGATGAACGAATCGACATCATCGAAGAGGCCAAGGACGTCTTCAGGTTTTGTGCGACGCTGGTCGACGAGCTCGATGCCATGGTCGCCGCACAATCTCCGGATACCGAAGCAACGTCAGCAGGGCAAGTAGAGGAGCACCTTGAAACAGAAAAATCTGCGCTTCTGGCCCTCGCGCTTGCGCAAGGTGTGTCGGAGAAATCTGTGACCAAGTCAAAAGACCTACTCACAAGCTTTGTCCAAAGGCCAGAGGTCACGGGGACGCTGGCTGCCGTGGCGTGTCTGGCCTGTGTTGCGTTTTTCAAGTTTTTCTAAGGCATACATGCGCCGACCAAACGTGCATCATGCCATTTGCATCCTTTCTTTTTCCATTGTATATCGTCGTTATTGCCCTAATTCTTCCATTTGCACACTGTATGGCGACACAGAGAGATACCCCTAGATTCCTAGCTTTTACTCGGCAGCATATTCAATCTTCAATTTTTTTTTTCGGCTCCACTCGAATTCTCCCGTCACTGAATCAGTCTTTACCTGAATTGTATGCAGGGATGCCCGCCTGGCCCAGACAGGAAATCGCTAATGTGGGGGTAGCTCGGCTGGGAGAGCGGGGAATTATTACACCCGCATTTCCAACGTCACCATCGGGACATGCATTCTAATACCTTGATCGTCAGGAACGCTTGGTTCATGGCCGTGGTTATGTGCCAGTGTAGTGCGAGCAAGTTGGATTTTTTTTATCCCTTTACTTTTGAACATGACCTGTGCTATAATTTAGCACAATGAACATGTCAAAAACCATTACCTTGCCATGTATTTCTCCGCAACACCACGATAATACCCCATCCATCCGCATTTATCCTATATCCGGTAAACTCATTGGTGGAAGTTTGAACTCCACGCATGATTCGTCCACAGATACTACCTGCAAAGTGGAACAGAATGGATTGCACGACTTAATATGAATATCCATGTATCTATTGCCATGCGCCTTCCAAGATATCTCATTGATTTATTGGCGCCATGAAGCTTTTTCCCCGTCTCTACTTGGCCAGTACATTGCTAATCCCCTCGGTGACAGCCACTTTGCCAATCGTTCACTCAAAAGCTGGTATCATCCATGGTCGTCACCTCCCGGAATTCAATCAGGATGTCTTCCTCGGTATCAAATATGCACCTAAGCCAGTGCGATTTGCTCCAGCGGAATTGATCAGGGATGCGCCAGACAGGATTGTCAATGCGACGCAATTTGGTCTCGATTGCAAGGGCTACGGCTCAGATACAGATCGCCTCGTTGCAGCCAACTGGACGAGGATGGGCGAAGACTGTCTCCATCTTAATATCGTTAAACCTGTGACCAATGAAACGAATCTCCCTATTTTGCTCTGGATATATGGCGGTGGATGGCAACAGGGCGCGACGAGTGATCCACGGTAGGTACCCTATACTCATTCTCCCACTCACCAGAATCCCCAATTTACGGTACTATTCAAGCTAACGGATCCAGCTACAACATGTCCTACCTCGTCCAACAATCCACCCTCAACCGCAAACCCATCATTGGCGTCTCAATCAATTACCGCATGGCCGCTTTTGGCTTCATCTCCTCTACCGCCATCAACGCCGCCGGCGCCCAAAACCTCGGGCTCCGTGACCAACGTCTCGCCTTGCAATGGGTGCAGCGCCACATTGCTTCCTTTGGCGGAGATCCCGCCAAAGTAACCGTCTGGGGCGAATCTGCAGGAGCCTATTCAGTCGGCGATCACATCAACGCTTTCGACGGCGCAAACGACGGACTCTTTCGCGCTGCCATTTTGGAGAGCGGAGGCGCAGTTGGCCCACCGTTAAACGGCACGGATTGGTACGAGAAAATGTACAACAACCTCACTGCGAGTGTGGGCTGTGACGTTGCAAACAATACACTGCAATGCCTTCGCGACGTTGCATATGAAGAAATCGCACCGCATGGTAATCAAGGCCTCGAATGGTTCCACGTCCTCGACGGCTCGTTGATCCCCCGTCCAGCCCAGATGTCGCTGCACCAAGGCAGGTTTGCAAAACTCCCAATCATCCTCGGCACAAACACGGATGAAGGCTTCGGTGTCACGGGCGTAGATACAGACGATCAAGCTCTCACACAGCTCCAGGCTTCCAAGCGCTGGAATGTGAATGAAACCGTGGCCCGTCGTCTGCTGGCTCTGTACCCGAATGACCCGGCCCAGGGCTTGCCGTATGGCTGGGGGAATCGAACGTGGCCGGAGAATGGGCTGCAGTGGAAGCGGTATCAGAGTATAGCGACGGACTTGACAATGTTTGCGCCGAGGAGGTTGCTTGCGGAGAGGATGAGTGGGTATGTGGACGAGGTGTATAGTTATCGGTGGGATGCGCCAAAGTACAATAATACGCCTGCTAGTATTGGGGTGAATCATTTTTCAGAGGTATGTTTGTGGAGATGATGGGGTTGGGTGGGATGAAAAGCCCGTTTCTCCTTTCTCTTTCTCTTTCTCTTTCTCTTTCTCTTTCTCTTTCTCTTTCTCTTTCTCTTTCTCTTTCTCTTCTTCTTCTTCTTCATCTTCTATTCAATGTTCAAGTCCAGAAACTAACAATCCAAACCCCAGATCCCCTTTGTCTTCGGCAACCCCACACAAACCATCACCCCCCTCGGCACAAACCCAGCCAACCTCGCCCTCTCAAACCTAGTCATGCGCATGTGGACATCCTTTGCATATAATCTCGATCCAAACCTACATGGACGTACGCTTTCCCCCCACAGTCCCTCTTGCGCTCCCTCTTCCCAGTCTTTGCAAACGTTATAGCATGCTAACAGCTGGGAGTAAAGTCAAGGGGATACCGCACTGGCCCCAATACGGCAAAAATGTAACGAATTTTGTGTTTCGTACGGATAGGAGTTATGTTGAGCCGGATGATGATAGGCTCGAGGGCGTGGCGTATATTAATACGCTGGTCAGATGATGGAGATGATGGAGGTGAGGGGTATGTGGCGCTGAGACGGAGCGGCGGGTGAGGTCTGGGTAGAAGGCATAGCCATGAGAGTGAGGAAGTTCCGCCTCTTTACCATACATTAATTCTCAA